GTTAGGTGTTATCAAGTTATGACTCACAGCAGCCTTAGGAACAAGAGATCTGAACCCCGCCCTCTCCTGTGCCGTCCTCATCATCTCTGAGACACGTGAGCCCATCGCTGAAGTCATTGTTGTCAATCCCCTCACTGGGGGTCTTCTCCTTCGCCGACCCTCTATCTTTCCAAGCATGATGCCCCTTTCCAAGGAACAGCCTCACCTAGCAACACGTCCAGAGCAGAAGAGAGGAAGCGGCGTCCTTGCCTCCAGGGAGGGCTCTGGCTGCACCCTTTCCAGGATACATCTGTCTGTTCTCTTGGCCGTCCGTGGGGTATTCAGTCTCTTCTCCAGGACCACAACTCAGAGGCAGTCATTCTTCTTCTGTCCTCCTTAGTCATTGTCCAGCTCTCTGATGCGAGCATTCTTATTGACCTCTGTACAGTGAGCATTTTCCTATGGCTGGAAAGGATTTGACTGGAGGCAACAGAATGTACAGAGGTGAAGAGCATGAGAAGAAAAGAATCCAGTGGGTGTGGAAGGAGGAGGTGGATGATACTGGAAACAGGTTCAGGCCAGGGGAGACTGTGCAGAGTGGGAGAGGCATGAATGACCTTCACATAGCCTAAGAAGCCAGCTAAGAGACGGGCAGAACCCTGGGACCATGCCGGTGGTCACCCTTCAATCTCGTGACTCAATTATGAGCCAAACAACAAACAGGCCTAGAAGGTGAGCAATCACACAGCGGTTTCTGCGCGCCACCAAGACGGGACTGACTCCAGAGGACCCTCCAGCAGGCTTTCAGAGGCTGCAAATGACACCGGGGAGACTGCCCATCTTTCTTCCACGGAGCAGCTGGTGGATTTGAACCACCACTTTTTTTACCACGAAAGCCACCAGAACTCACACCAGAGAAGCGCTCAATACCTCAAATAACCATAGGGGATCAAATGAGCAGCACTGGCCCAGAGACAAAGCTCGGAAGGCAGGAAACGTTAGGAGGACAGGATTAAAGGACATGAGAATCCCAGGGAAGAGGTGGGAGAAGTACTATTACTTTGTGGGCGTCGTACTTAATGTCATAAACTAAAATGTGGAAGAACAGTCGAGTGGAAAGCCAAGTAGCTCTGTCAATGCTCATTCAAATCACAACAGAAAAACTAAAGCAGATAGTGTTGTGGGTGGAGGCTCATGGACGCTGCAGGGTGGGAAGGGGTCCTGCATCTGGGAGGAGGTGATCGGCTGTGTGGGCTGGGGCAGGGGCTGCAGGGAGGGAAGGGGCCAGGATGTAACTGGGGTTAGTAGCTAAAGGGTGGAATTCTTGCTTTGCATGCTAGAGACCTCGGGTCACGCCCAGCTGTCCCCTGTCTGTCCATGAAGGCTTGGCTGCTAAGCAGGCTTCAGGAGACTTCAAGAGGGATAGACCAGGAAGAAGGGCCTGTGATGAAGTTTCCCAGGTCAGTCACTGGAAGCCCCAGGCATCCCAGCATGCTTTGCAAGCATTCACGGGGACAGTGCAGGATGGCAACAAGTGGACAGTTGTCACAGGGTCCCTGTGAGTTCACTGGATGGCAGCTAACAATGAAAACAACAAGCTTGTGGACGGATGGGATCCTGGGGGGATGGCAGGGCCAGGTGACTGGCTCACGTGACATGGTGGATGCTAGGAACATGAGAGAAGACACATCTGCAAGAATTTCTTCAATGCTGGGCTCATTTCTGTCTGTGGGTACCTCTGCCTTGTCCCAAGGGCAGCTTATCTTTCTGTCACAAAGCTTTAGGCAAATGAGGCACAGGTGTGATTTAGGTGTGAGAGACAGGTGAGTACCCAGGTGTGAGACAGGTGTGTACTCAGGTGTGACATGGATGCATGCTCAGGTGTGACACAGGTGTGTGCTCAGGTGTGACACAGGTGTGTGCTCAGGTGTGACGCAGGTGTGATACAGGTGTGTGCTCAAGTGTGACACAGAAGCATGCTCAGGGAAGGCACAGGTACATGCTTGGGTGTGACACAGGTGCACTGTCAGGTGTGACACAGGTGTGTGCTCAGGTGAGGTATAGGTACAGGCTCAGGTGTGACAGAGGTGTAACACAGATGCATGCTTGGGTGTGACATAGGTGTAACACATGCATGTGCTCGGTGTGACACAGGTGTAACACAGGTGCATGCTTGGGTGTGACATAGGTGTAACACAGGCGTGTGATTGGTGTGACACAGGTGTAACAAAGGTGTGACACAGGTGTTTGCTCAGGTGAGGTACAGGCTCAGGTGGTCTGGTTCTTAGACGGTTCAGGGTGGACGGTGACATGCCTGCGGCCCCAGATCCTGCTCCCCAGGTGGGCTAACACGGACAGGGATGGGCCCGTAAGGGGTCGGAGGTCCCCCCGCCTTACCCTTGGCTAGTTCCTCTTCCGCTGATTTGGTGCCCTGCTTCCGCTTTGGGGTGACAAGCTTTGTGCAAATAGCCCCCTTCTCTTTGCTGTAATGCTGGAAAGTGGGGGCAGAAGGACACAAGGGCTGTGTGAACCTGATCTGAGGCACAGGGGACCCCTGCACCCCACTGTCCCCTTTCTAGTGTTTTCTGAACGGGATGGGTGGGAACTGGGGATGAGGAAAGGGCCTTGGTGGTGCTGGTTTCCATGGAAATAGGAAAGAATGTAGGGGAGGAGGAACAGGGAGGGGGGATTGGTTTTAACAGAGAGAGATTCCTGGGGTCCCCTGGGAGCCACCTCAGCTCCTGGCTGGGGGTCCATGGGGCCTTTCTGGCACTTGTGTTCTGTTCTGAGGTTCCTGTGTGCGTCCAGCAGACAGATATGGGGAAGAAGTTTTGGGAGGCCCATGGGGACTAGTCCCTCCACCTCTGAATTGGGGAGCTCTGCTCTGGGGATCCCTAGTCCTGTGTCTGTCCAGTGGCCAGTGGTCTCAGGGGTCCACAGTGACTTTACTCCATCTTTACTGGGAGTCCTCCTCTGGGGGTCCCATGTCCATCTAGCAGCTGGGGGTGGGGCCTTGGGGTCTAGCCCGCAACTGTATATTTGGACACCTGCTTTTGGGTAAAATATCTGCTCAGTGGCTAAGATGGGACTTGGGAGACCCCACATCCCAGTCCTCTTACTTGGGGGTCTTTCCCTGGGGCCCCATGTCTGCCAGGCCCCCATCTCTATATCGGGGTCCCCACATCTGCTTAGGGACCGCACCTCTATATTGGATCCCTTGGGGCCCCACATCTGCTCAGTGACTGTACCTCTATATCAAAGTGCCCCTGGGTCCCTATGTCTCCTCAGGGACCACACCTCTATATTGGGGCACCTCCGGGGTCCCCGCATCTGCTCAGGGATCACACCTCTATCTCGGGGTGACCCTGGCTCTCCACGTCTGCTCAGGGACCTCATCTCTATCTTGGGGTGCCCCTGGGTCCCTATGTCTTCTCAGGGACCACACCTCTATATTGGGGCACCTCCGGGGTCCCCGCATCTGCTCAGGGACCATACCTCTAGTTTGAGTTCCCCAGGTTCCTACATCTGCTCAGTGATCACACCTCTATCCTGGGGTGCCCCTGGGTCCTTATGTCTCCTTGGGGACCACACCTCTATCTCGGGGTGCCCCTGGCTCCCCACATCTGCTCAGGGACCACACCTCTATCTTGGGGTGCCCCTGGCTCCCCACGTCTGCTCAGGGACCGCACCTCCACCATGTCCATGAGGTTGCAGAAGCAGACGGCCTCGTCGATGGTGAGGTGGCCGTCGCGGTGCAGCACGCGGTAGTGGATGACGTCGCGGCCGAAGCTGACACACAGCACGTAGTCCCCGGGGTGACGCACTGACTCGCGCACCAGGAACAGCCCGTCCTCCGGCGGCTGCAGCAGCTGCACGGCCTCCTGGCCCGAGATCTTCCCGTGGAACCAGCTGCGGGCAGAGCGTGTGGGGGTCAGGAGGGACAGGAGGGGGCAGGAGGGGCAGGCCTCCAATCCCGCCCTCCCACTTCACTCACGGCATGAGGCTGAGCTTGGGGTCGGTGGACAGGGCCTCGCGCTCCCGCAGGGCACCGGCCGCCAGCAGCCCCTCCTCACCGCTGGCGTGGTGCTTGGCACGGTACCAGCTCTTGCTCTGTGGGAGCGGGGGAAGTGATGGGGACCTCAGGGAGTACACGCGGGCACATGCCACGGACACCATGGATACACCCACACACACCATGGACACACGGACATCCCCCCTTACACATGTCTGCCACACAGGTCACACACATGCACACACCACAGACACACACATACCCCATGGACACAGGGATACATGGAGATACATGGATACAGTCACACACCATGGACACACAGACATACACACCATGAACACACGGACACATGGACACATTCACACACCACGGACACACGGACACCCCCACTCTTACACACATGCACACACCACAGACATGGCCACACATCACACACATCCACCATGGACACATGGACACACTCACACAAGATGGACACATGGAAACACCTCCCCCCATGGACACAATCACACACACCCCCATAGATACACGAACAGACACACACATCATGGACACACCCACCCATGGAAACATGGACACATGGGCAGACACACACACAGGGGCCCACAGACATGGACACACGACACATACATACCATGGGCATATGGACACATCATAGACACATGGATATACACACACCCCATGAACCCACGGACACACACTCCATGGACACCTCCTCACTCTCACACAGGGACACACCATATATAAAGACATGCATGCACATACCACACACCTCACACAGACACACATGTACACACGCCACACACACGCATACACCCCACTCTCACACCCTATACTCACACACAGCCTCTAACAAATCACATACACTTGTACTCACCCCTCACTCTCATACACCACACATGCACACACATCCCACACATGCACATGTCACACACTCCCCACACACATGCACACACACCCCACACATGCACAT